ATCACTTAAATATTATCAATATCCTGAGACCACTTTTGATAAAAAAACTAGCCACGGGAACGTTTTTTTAAACGAAGCTTTTTCAGGTAAGGATTCCTAAGTACCTAAACACATCCAATATGCATGAAATTTTCCATATAGATTAAAAAAAGGATGAGGGGTTTAATGGAATATGGACCTTTTTGATATTTGCTCTTATTTGAATAGTTTTTAGTGTTGTAAAAGTTTGTTGTCAGTTTTTTTTGGAAAAAAAACTTTTTTTTAAAAAAGGTCCAGGTGGAAAAGACAAGTATAGCCTTTCCTCTATCCAAATCAAGTATTTATTTATGATTTCTTAATGATTTGATACTTAGGAAATGTATTTATAAATTATGTATATTTGGCTTTTTTTTCAATTCGCCGTTTTTTGTTATGATTTTTGCGTTTGTTTTTGTTTATAATATTTTTTTTTGGCATTCGCAATTTATTAATGGATTTTTTGATGTTTACTTTTCACTTTCTAATCTAAAGCTTATTTATACACTTAAGAAGTAGTTAAATAAAAAAAAATTTTTTTTGAAAATATGACATAACTGCTTTATATAGCATAAAACTCTTGCTTTTATTCCTTCCATCATTTTTGTTTTTCAAAATAGAATAAAATTTTCATTCTAAGAATGATATTGAAAGTGAAACTCTTTAGATTTTAAGCTGTTAAAAATATTTTATTTTGTTTTTTAAAGGTATTTTGTTTGGATTCTTCCACAAAATTGCAAGCTGATTGTGTGTCATTAGTTGTTTTCAAAACAGTGCTTTAAAAATTGTTTTTATTTACCATGCTTTTTGTTGATCTGATTGGGAACGCTTTCTAGCCAAATCAAGTTATTTTTCCAAATTTAAATTTAGTTGCAACATTTGGTTAATCTTACAATCCTTTCTAACATCTCTTTTTTTTTTACTTCTTGGACATTATATTTTGATAAAATCCCTTTATTTTTTCTTTTATATTCATTACATCTTATCTATTTTAAAATTCAAGGTGCTTAATTCTCTTTTTGTATTTGTTTATTTGATAGGTCAAATCACCAGATAATAAAGGTAGTTGTTGATCGAAATTGGAAACTGGGAAATTCTCTTTATTTACTTGAGTTTCAAGAAAATAATCATCAGAATGACTTTTTAAAGGCTTGTCTACAGTAGAACTTTGAGTAACAGAGCTTGAAAAAACATCATTAGCAGTTTTCAAGTTTAAATCAGAAAATAAACTTAAAGAAGCAGAAATATCTTCTGGAACAAATTCACTAGAATTTGTTTGAGAAGATGTTTGGCTAGAAGTAAGGATAGAACAATTAGCAGAAGGTTGCAAATCATCAACTTTGTTAAATCAAACGAGATTATTTTTTATTTTAAGTATCTGTATTTTCAACAAGGGTTGAAGCAACCATTTTTAGAGTTACTGGAAGACCCAATATGAAGTAAAATAACATTCCAGTAACTTCCTAAAAAACCATTTTTAGGAAGTTACTGGAAGACTCAAGATGAAGATTATAAAGCAAGATAACGATTAACAGATGACTTAAAAGATTGCAAATTATATGAATCATGAAAACAAGATGAATGGGTAGTATCACAAAAAACTGATGTTTGAGGAAAAAAACTATACCAATAAAAATTTTTGGAACACTTAGGAACAATAAAATACTATATTATTGTATACAAATACTAACTTAGCAATGATTTGTATATAAGGTTTCCATAAAAGGTCAGTAAAAAAAGATAGTTAGAGACAATTTAAAGTAGAAAACACAGTAACAATGTTGCCATTCATGAATATAAGAGTATTAACAAGATTGCAAATAATCTTTTAAAACTTCGCCAGATACACCATATAATCCAGAGCAATAGAATGTGCATCACCGGCTCTATCTAATGTTAATTTCAAACCTTTCTGTAACAACAGTTAACAGGTCCAAAAACAGATGATTGAAATCCATATGTTTCTTATATCATCAACAAATAAAGCCAACTTTGAGTTTTTCAGGATGATCATTAATGTTGGTTAGAAATGGTAAATGGCTGAGGATAGAAGTTCACCTTGTTAGTTAAGTATTGACACTAGCATGAATTTGCAGCATTTAGTGCCACAGGTAATATGTGTTTTGTGATTGTGATGTTATTGTTGTGATGTTTTGTGTTGATAGACAACTTGGCTTACCTTCTCGCTGGTGTCTATTGTTAAAAATGATTATTAGGTTGTTTTGTTACTCAAATTCTCTACCTCTAATTATTCACTAAAAGCCAAGAGATAATTTTTAGAATAACACCATTTTTTGTTTTAATGTTGTTTTCAATTTTTTATCTTAGTTGTTGTCAATAGTTCACATAAAAATCTCAAAGAGTAAATTTCTTATTCTATATTTATTTAGTTTTAATTGTTAATTTATAATTATTTTTTATTTTTAAAATCAATTAATCTGTGTGTTTTAATAATAATTTTATTACAATTTTAGGTTGATTTCTGCTTTTACACCTGCTAATGCTGTCGTAGGTACTCAAAATTTTAGGAAGCTCTATTGCTGTAAGTTATTTTAATTTTAATTTAAATTTTAACTTTATTAAAGAATGTCAGTCTGTTAAATAGGTAATTCTGAATGTCTGTCTGTTAAATAGGTAATTCTGAATGATTTAAATATATTTCAATGTAAATTAAGCAATAGTTTTAAACAGATGAATTAATTTGATTCCACGATCCTTTATGCATATTTGCATGGAGTTTTTATAATATAACCCAAATTTTTTCTAAAAAACTAGGTAAATAAGTAAAAACACTTCAGTCTGTAAAATTAACAATTTTTGGATAGTTTTGACAACTATATTTAAAGTCAAATAGGTTTGTGCAATATTGATTTGTCCAATAGGTTGGTGCAAACCTTTTGTAGTAATTTACTGACCGGTCTGTAAATTATGCAAAAACTTCAAATTGATGTATTTTACAGATTCCATGATTCCTTTATGCATATTTTCATATTGTAACCTTAGTTTTTGTTGTTCATTACACAATTAAATAAGTAAAAACACTTCAGTCTGTAAAATAAATGATTCTGTGTAATCTCAATAGATTTAATAAAAACTGGATTACTATTTAAAATTTCAAGTCAAATGTAAAAACGGTTCAAAAATATCAAACATATTTAAGGTCAATATCCTTAATTGGTGTGTAAATCTATTTTTCTGTAATTTACTGACCGGTCTGTAATTTATGCAATAATTTTACTGACAGGTCTGTAAATAATAGTTTTCAAATGATGTATTTTTTGGCTTCCATGATTCCTTTATGCATATTTGCATAGTGCAATTCTAATTTTTTTTACTTAATAACACAATTAAATAAGTACAAACCTTTCAGTCTGTAAAATAAACAATTCTGGATAATCCCGACAGATTTAATAAAAACTGGGTCACTATTTAAAAATTCAAGTCAAATGTAATAATGGTGCAAAAATATCAAAAATTAAAAAATTACTAACTATTTAAAGTTGATATGTTTAAATTGTTTGAACAGCCCATTTTCTCAAAAATAAGAAAATAATATAAAACCCTTCAGGCTGTAAAATAGATGATTCTGGACATTTTTTAAAGTAAAATTTTGGTTTTTTATTTTCTTATAGTTCTTTGATCACTATGAAAATTTTTAAGTCAAAAGTAATAACGATTTAAAAGTTATTCAAAAGTCAGTTTGACCGCAAAAATATATAAATTAGTAAAAATCCTTGGTCTGTAAAATAGATGATTCTGGTCAATCCTGACAGATTTAAAAAATTTTTTTTTGGAATTTTATCTCCTTATAATTGGTTGGTCACTATGGAAAATTTCAAGTCGAATGTATTATTGGTTCAAAAGTTATTCAAAAGTCAGTATGACCCCAAAAACATATAAATTAGTAAAAACCCTCGGTCTGTAAAATAGATGGTTCTGGTCAATCCCGATAGATTTAAAAAATTTTCAAGTCAAATGTATTATCAGTTCAAAAGTTATTCAAATGTCAATAATACTATCATTTTCGTTGCCATTTCGCCGCAAATTTCCCATACTTAAGCCCTATACCTTTTGTCAAAAAATCACCCGTTTTTTGACTACAAAAAGTTTAATAACTTTTGATCCGCTTAACTTCAAAGGTCGAATGACCCCTCATTTTTTAAGTCAAACCAAGCTCTATATAATGGCATCAATTATATATGGATATTTAAATTATAAAAAAATCGTGTGGACATGCTACCCTGAGTTGTCTGTACTCACAGAGCTCAGCTAATAGTTCATGCAGCATTTGTAAATTTGTGATATCTATTTAAAAAACTAATTTATAATAGTTTATTTCAAAAAGATATTCAGCTGCCTACCATGCAGTTGTGTTATTAACCTTCTAGCACACGGCATTGGGTAGTTAAGAACTAAAAGGTACATAAATTTGTACAAAAAGCAATAACAAACATTTAATTTATTGTAAAACTAAAATTTAATGAAAGTATTTAAATGAAATATATATAAAAAATGATTAAAATTATTTCCGTTTTTCACATTTAAAATAATTATTAGAAAGTTGTTTGGAAATTGTTAAATTAGATTATATAACCTAGTAGTTAACTACTAGATTATAGGTATAATTCTTTACTAATGTTAAACAAACTAATTTTTAATTAATTTAACTAAAAAAATTTATCATATTTAATTAAATTTAAAATAAAAATAAAAAAGAAAGATATTAGTAATATAAGTAACAATAAGTTTGTGTAACATTATTAATATTACACAAACTTATTGTTTGAGTAAATTATTAAGAGTATAATATTTATTGCAATATATATTGTTTGAGTATAATATTTATTAGTAATATATATTGTGATATATGTATTAGTAATATATATTGTGATATTATAAGAGTATAATATTTATTAGTAATATAGTTTGAGTAGATTATTAAGAGTAATGTAAAACAAAATATTATATATATTTTAGAAGTTTACGTAAATATGTACTATTGTGTTTCTTTCCAAAACAATTGCTATGTAAAACCGAAATTTTCATTCTTGTTTGAGGCTTGTACATTTATTTTCATATTAAAAAAATATAAAAGTTCGTAACAAATATTTCTAAATTTGTAATCAACAAAATACGCCGCCATCTTGGGAGGCCAAAACTGGCTTCAAAAAACTTGCCGTATACGCTATCCAGTTATATTTTGAGATCAGTGATTATGAACACATAACTCGATGACATCAAAAAATAATATCACATGTGTTGCAAATGCACGGCTGATGAGATCATAAAACACAGAGATATTTTATTTCGATGAGATCGACAAATTTTACTTAGGATCGGGTGCTAGAAGCGCAATATTTTGCTTTAATTACAATATTTTAACTTAGGTACATATTCTGCTACAAAAAATTAGGTGTCTGATAGATAATCTTTTTCGATAAAATTTGGCATGTACGTAGAAAATAAGTTTTTAAATTTTTCTCAATAGTTTCAAAAATGTTCTCAATATTCCTTGAATATTAATTTGACGTGTGATCAACAACGAAGTTTTTAAGAAAAGTAAATTCATTGAAAGCGGTTGTAACTTCAAAAAAAAACTATCCAAAAATAAAGTTTAACTCTTCCACTTTTAAAAAAAAGATTTTGCTGATATAAAATCTTAAAAAATAACACAACAAAATACATTCTTACAACTCAAGCCCTAAGCACGATTTGATAAAATGGTCAAAGATTTTGATTACATAATCAGTGCCGTAACTCATTGGATACGCACGTACCTACATTAAACTACGCGTCCCATCTTCATACCAGCCGTAAACCATTTACGGAAGCCGAATCCCAGTAAAAACCTAGACTTTATTTCCGCCAATATTTTTACACCATATGGGACCCATCTGGCACCCAAAACAAATCCCAGCCCGAACCCAATCCTAGTAATCTCAGCTCAATCCCAGTCAATCCCAGCTAGGACCCAGCTGGATTGGTTAACTGGGTATGCTGTCCAATGCTGGGTAAATTTTAGGATCAAAGCCCCCAAGTGCGAGACCCTTGGTTTTTGAAGCATTGATCACTGAACCACTTGCTTTTTCAAATAGTTTTACTGTTTCGAAAAAATAGCGGACTGATTTTACGTCCCTCGCAAAATAGTTCGAATCGTCTGTGTACTGCCGTAATTTAAGGGTTTTTGGTGTTCCTGGTTGTGGGAATTTAAAATTTGGTTTTCCTCATCACTTAAACGTTTAGTGATGTGTGACAAGACATACTTTTGGCTTTCTTTGCATAAATTCGTTTTGGTGTAAATGTTTTTATAATATGAAACAAGAGAATTAAGTATTTCACCAGCTTCACTTGTCAATGTGCCGTCATTCTTGCGACTTTCGATAATTGACTTGTTCCACTGTTGAACTTTTTCCAAATTATATAAAAATTGTGAAGTTTTTTTTCCTTCTTTGATTAGTTTTTGTTTTGTGAGAATAAACGCTCCGAGAAACTGGATCAAGAAAAGAGTATCGCGTTTTTCTTTGATGCTATCTAAATTCGGGTTAGCGTTTTGTCGCTCCCGTTGGATTTCGTTTTCAACCCTTTTGATGTGTTTTTTGTTTTTCGCACTTTTCTGTATTGATATATGTTGTACTTCTACCCTAACAAAAAGTTTGCAGTCGTCTCACTATTTTAAAATTGACTTATAGGACCGTTTTTTTGTTTGCCAATCATAAATTAAGAGTTCAATTTTTTGCCTTTGCGCTTCTATTTTCAAAAGAGAACAATTTAATTTCAAGTATCTTGGTCCTCTCCTAGTTTTACTAAAATTGACGGTTGTTGTGAGGAACTCGTGGTCAAAAAAAGGGTTGGTGAGAATTTTAGTGTATGTTGCTTTTTCGGCGATTTTATCAGGGCAGTAGATTATATCGAGTCTACATTTTACCTTCTGATTCAAAGCAGCCGTGGTGCAGTGGTAGCACACTTGCCTCAGAAATGTAAGACCCGTGGTTCAAACCCCACCTCTGGGCAAGTTTTGCGACATCGGTTGGGAAGGAGGCGCGAACTTCCCATTAAATGCTCTTCCGCGATGCTCTGTGATAAGACCGTAAGGACTTCTTGAGGCACCTTAATCAACTTAAAAAAAAAAAAAAAAAGATTTCGTCATGTGAATTCTCTTTTGGTTGGAAAATTTAAAACGAAAAACATCTACTAGGTTATACTTAACTTGAAAGACCTCAAGTTCGTCAATGCCAAAGGTATGATATTTAACGTTGTTTGTGCCTTCTGCATCGAGAGGCAGGCTTTTGACCATGTTGAAATTTCCGGCCAAAAGCACGGGTAGTCCTGTGTTCTGCGAGAAGTCTCCAAGGTCGCCGAAAAAAATGCGCCTTTCTTTCGGCACATTAGGAGCGTAAATATTCAGCACCTGCATTTTGTGTTCATCAATTTTTATCATGACGTTTAATATTCTCCCGTTTTTATCCCTTTTTAGCTCATTTAAAGAAACGTTGGACTTAGAGAGAACCGTCACCCCACAACAGTTATGACTCGGACCAGAGTTCCAAATAGACTCGCCAGTCCATTTGTCACTCCACTGTTTAACAGTGGAAGGTCCGGATTTTGTTTCCTGAAGGAGGATAGATCGAAGGTGGATTTTTTGAAAAACCCGAAAAAATTGTCGTGTTTATTTTGGTCGTTTATGTTGCACGTTAAAATATTAATGTATTGAAAACTCGTGTACTTTAAATATAAATATAACAATTCTACAACCTGACATAAAACGTATCACGAGTAGGGGTGTCCCGGATAGCATTTTTTTAATTATCCGGCCGGATATCGGATACCCGGATATTTAACAATTATCCGGCCTGATATCTGGCCGGATACGGATAATGTAAGGTTAATATTACATTAAGACAAAAGTTACCGTAATAACCCTTCAAAATGGCGAGTTTTATTTGGAAACTTTTTAAAATTAGTGATAACTGTGATTCTATAGCTATTTGTTTTTTTTTTTGTTTTTTTTTTAATTTTACATTTGTTGGTCGTTTTACAACTATATATTGCCAAAAAAAAAAAAAAAATGATGATAATAATAATAAACTTTCACAAATATAAAATAAGGTATCTGAAACAAGATCAAAGGATCTTGTCGTCAGAACCTTAAATAAGTTCAAACAAGCATTAACAGTATCAAATTTTTACAAATTTCATATATATATAATCCAAATATATGTTATATAATCCAAAGAGAGATCACGCGGATCTACTCACCAATATTTTATATAAACGTATACGTTAAGTAAAGAATATAAAATTAAGAAAATAAGTAAGAATAAACTTTTTACAAATATAAATAAGAAAAGGCAAAGTTATTAATTTATATTATTAATAATAACATAATACGTATTCTAATGAAAAAATTAGGGTTTTTATTATACATTTAAAAAAACGAAAAGTAATGGGTAGTTCGAAGTCAAAATTGGGCAAAACAATTTTATTCCAAAGGTGTGGTGCCCGATAGGCAATACAAAATTGATTAAAGTTCGTTTGGCAGAAAGGTTCATTAAAAAAATCAGTATTTCTCAAATTGTATTTGTTGATGGGTTTCGGAGTAAAAGTATCTTTAAAGACAAATTGAGACAAGTCATTTTTCCACATGTATACAAAGCATAAAACATTATATATATTTAGCTCGTATATATTTAAAATTCTCATTTCAATAAAATAATGTTTTGCGTGAGAAAAGCGATTTGCATTCCATGTGGAAAGCAGATAAGCAGGGGGTGTAGTAGATCTGGTCAGCAGTCAAAAATTAAAGAAACATAACTGGACTTTTATCAGTTGTTATTAATAGAGCAACCAGCTTCACCACCATTATCTCCAATCATTTAACGCCAAAATCCAAAAAAAAAAAAAAAAAGGAGAATGACTTTGACTCCTGCTTTTTTGAACTTCCAGAATATGAAGGAAATTTAGGTAAGATAGTCTCTTTCTGTTTATTAAAAAAGTTTTTAATAATTTAAAAAACTTTTTTGATAAACAGAAAAACCTTTTATTAAGTTTTTTTTTTTAATAACAGCTACTAACTGCATGTTATGGGTTTGTTGATTTAAATATTATATACTTGTTATTGAATGAAAATATATAAATAAATAAATCATCTTTAGTATTTAAATTCTTTTATATTACAAAACAAAATGGTGAAATCAATCCTGATCAAGTCTCCTTTGTAAAAGTTGCTCAAGAAGTTGATTTTTTCTTTAATCACTCGATGATAGAAAAAAAAAGACGTTTTTATTTATTAAGAAGTTTCCACTTCTAAAAGAGTTAACTCTGAAATTATTAGCACCTCCAACATCCTCTGTATTTTCGGAGCAATAGTTTTCCAAATATGGAAATATTTACAAGAAAAAGCGATCAAGGCTGTTACCTCAACGTGGAGAATTGTTACTATTTATTCATCATAATGGAAATAAATTTATAAACGAGTGATAAACTGATGTATTAGTAGCGTTTAATTTTAATAGTATATGAATAATAAACTATTATTAATAATAATAACAATATTGAATAGAGACCATTAACATTAGATTATTTAAAAATAAAACATTTTTTGGTTTATTAAATCTTTAATTTTCTAAATAACATTAACTTGACATTAACTTAAATATCCGGTTTATCCAAAACCGGATAATGTTATTATCCGGCCAGATAAGGAATATCGAATAATACGGTTTTCATCAGGTGTCAGTTGTTGAAGATTCAGCCCTGGATGAAGCACTTAAGTTTGCAAAATTTAGGCTATGTTGAGGTTGCCCATTATGTTTGTAGCGTAGTGTGTATCCATCAACATTTTGATATCTTGGCAACGGGTTAATGTGTGGGTTTGCCAGTTTTTAATTATAATTATTACATTACCCGTCAGTATATCTTCTCTGTGAACCATGACCTTTTAACAGCTAAAAGACTCAAAGGTTTCTCTTCCTGCCGCAAGAAGTTTACCTAAGGTGGTAAGA